AGCACACATGCCCTGTAGCAAATTGAAAAAAAAATTATTATAAATAAAATTAAATAAAAATACTTGTTTAAAAAAAATTAGAAGAAATGCCTTCATCACATCTCCAGAGTGGGAGACTTGAGTCCTTAAACAGAGTTGGACATCCAGCTAGTGCTGTTTGTGTCGGTTCGAAGGCAACACACCTTTCCGTAGGATTTCCCACACTGGGGGTTAGAGACAGCCTGTCTCTATCCTCTGTGCTGGAAGTGCCTCTTGCCTGCTTTGACCTCCAGCTCTCCCCTTGGGCATACACCATGGAGGAGGCGTTCAGGTCAAGTTCCTCCCAGAAGCCAGTTCAGGGGCAGGAGCGGAACACTCAGGCTGACTCCAGTGCTTCTGACAGTACCTTGTCAAATAGAGGCATTCACAATGAAGACTATCTTGCTTGGTACTGCTTAATATTCGTGTAACTCTAATTATTCTAACCCATTTGATGCTTTGAGAGCGATGGGTCTTTTTGGAAATAGTGTTATTTCTGCTGCACTGATGAGAAGGTTGAATAGAACCAGCAAAAGAAAACTTGACAGAAGCCAGAATCACGACTGAGAATCCCTGGCCATTTGGTTGTCTTCCCTGTTAAATTATCCTTTTACTCCGTTTATTTGTCAGTAAAGTAAAACCCCTACAAAAATACACGCCGGGCGTGTGTGCGTGTGTGCCCAAGATCCCGAGAGGAGAATGGAGGAGAAGGGATTGCGGCGTGGCCATCCCCCCTGGGGGGTGATTTCTCACTTTCTATCTCTCTGTCTCTCTCTGTCTGTCTGGCGAGCGCATGCACCCTATAGCAAAAACCTCTCCAAAAAAAAAAAAAAAATACTCAAAAATAATGGCTTTATGCCGGCACGTTGCAACTAGGTCAAGTGTTCAGTGTTAGAGAAGCTCTGAATGTTTGCAGACGGAGTAAGGTTCACAGAAGGCTCTTTTAACTTTATTTGCATGGAAAAGAATATATTAATGTATTCGAAATAGTTCTGATTTGGCTTTTAAAGCCAACAAGCCAGACCCGGAATACTTGTCTGGTTACCATTTAGTCTGTTTAACTAACTCCATTGTAGGAAAGACATCTCAAATTCTGCCTTTGTCTTTTTAATTTATATCCACAGATTCACTTTTAGTTCTAAGAATCATCAACTAGTTTCATGTTTCATCTTGAAGACATGGAAGGAACTTTCTCTTCAAAACAGCTCTTTTCACCCCTTTCTCCTCCCAAGTGTAGGCTGAGGCCCTTTTCCTCACCTTTCTACCCCAGCTCCCTCATTGCAGTGCTCCAGAGATCACAAGAATCAACTCCCCCGTTCCCTTTCATCTCATCATCCTTGCCCCAGCCCCTTAGTGTGTTGGTCAGGTCCTGACCTCTCTCCAACCAGCCCTGCATTCCTGGGACTATCTGACTGAGCCCTGGAATCAAAGTACAGGGTGAATTCTCTCTTGTACATGCTCAGCCAATGTATTGGGATTCATGAATATTAAATAATTAGAGATCACAGAGCCTCACCTTCATCTTGTACCCTTTAAAAACATAATCGCTTCTTTATTTCATGGCACTTGACTTTGTTTATTCAGCCTGATCAGAGCTGCTCTCAGACTCTAGCAAGCCTGTTAAATATTTACCCACAAGACGGATACTTACACATGAATCAGCAGCACTTATCAGTGTGTCATGCTGGATATTAGGTTCTATACCCTCACAAGTTAAGAAACTACTGAGATAAATAAAAAATGAAATGAAGGTCCTTTTAAAAATAAACTCTTGGGACCAGCAGATGGTATAATGGTTACATCACTAGATTCTCATGTAGTCGACCGTGGTTCAAGTCCCAGACCCGGTATCTTAAACTCATGTCGGGTGCATGTGTGTGCGTGCTCAAAGTCCCAAGAGAATGAAGGAGAAGGAATTGCGGCATGACCATCTCCCCTGGGGAGTGATTTCTCACTTTCTGCCCCTCTGTCTCTGTCTCTCCAGCAAATGCCCTATAGCAAAAATCTTTCCAAAATAAATAAAAATAAACTCTAAGTTAAAACTATCCTTCATAGCCCCTGAAGTGCTTGATCTGTTGAGGCTTAGGCAACCCAGCCTCATTCCAACTCAGACACGCCAGAGTGGTTGGTCTGTCATGTCCAGATCAAGTGAATCTGATTGTTTGCCGGTTGGGGTACGGAAATGCTGAGATATGAACAAAGTGAAGAGAACACTTGCTTTGCTTTTGTGTGCAAGATAAAGGGAGATAAGCTGAACCCCTCAGCGTCTGCTTCAGTGATAGACTGAGTGCTTCTGGGAGCACCTTGTCTTTGTTGGGATCCTGACCAGTTGACTGAGCCAGATTCCAGATTCTTCCCATGTTCCCTGTAGCATGAATAAAATCCCCCTCCTCTCAGGGCGGCATGAGAGTTCAGCAGAAATAGCATGGACTCTGGTGGCAGGCAGACCTGTGCTCAAATAGGCAGTTTACATCCTGCCGAGTAGTGTAAATCCGAATCCATTGCTTCTGCTCTGAGCCTCCATTTCTTCACCTGTGAAGTTACAATGATCGTCCTCACCTCACTGAACCGTGAGGACAGTTCAGTTAGATACTATGAGAGAACACCTCACAACAAGGGTTCATTCTCGGTAATCGCAGAGGCGGGCTGCAGAAACATGGCCGGAAACAGCTAGTCTTCAGATCTCTTCCCACCACTGCTTCTTTCCATCATTAGAGGTCATTTTTTATTTCAGGCTGTCTTTCAGAATAGCACAGTTCAAGCAGAGACAGAGTGTGACAGGCTTAGGGACCCCCAGACGGTTTCTTTCCTTGTGTGCAATTTAGTGAACACCGAGGGCTTACCCTGTAAAATTGTATGTAAGCCAAAGACCATTACAATCAATTCGAGGAAACCATCCAAATTACTTTCTTGTTTGAAATGTTATTATGTCAAGAATAATCCTCTCAGTAAGCTCTGAGTAGCCAGGATCTTGGCATTCTCGAGGTCATACAGGTATTTGACCAATAGCTACAAGATATATACATACGGGTCTTATTTTTCTTGTAGTATAGCATTTTCTTGATCATTTTCTGTCCTAATAGGATCATTATAACTTTCTGGTTAGATGTGTACCGTCTGTCTTTGTGCATATGAAAGGAGATAAAATGCTTTCCTCCGGCTCACAGGGAGCCATAGGAACTTCCTAGCCTTCTTCTGAGTTTAGGCTAAATCTAATCTACTGTCTCCTCAAAGAGTAGCAGAAGGAAATGATGATCTCACTGATTGTGTGCAGTTGCAGAGTGCAGATGATACGCACTTAGCCAAACGTTATCTTAAGATATTCTCAGTCAGAGATGTGCCTCATGTCATCTGAGTAGAAAAAGACAGTATCAGATATTTCCACTTCACATTGATTTCCTCAAATCACCCGGGATTTTGTTTGTTGGGATTTTTCACTTCTATAAGTAAATATAAAATTCGTTTTTTATTTAACTTTATTTTATTTATTTTTTAATTTGACCAGAGACGGACAGAGTGAGAGAGAGAGAGGGAAAGTGAGAAAGCAAGCCAGCCGCCAGGTCCAGGACTCGAATTGTGGTCGGCCATGTGAGAGTCCATGGCCATAACCACTATGCCACCTGCCAGCCCCAGTAAACATAAAATTCATTTTACCAGAGAAATTAATTTCAAATATTTGCAGTCAGTATGGAAACAGATGGCTCTGGAGTCCTTTCAGTAGTCATATATATGTTCCCTGTGTCACAAACCCTAAACTGAGTCAGTCTACCCTAAATTCTGTAGGGATGGATTTCCAAGCAGTTGTTATGACATCTTTTCCTTCCGTTTATGATCTTGTAACTGTGGGAACCTGGATAATGAATAATCACAGAGATAAAGGACTTTAGGGTTAAATATACACACATATACCACTCTATTACAGAGAGGTTTTAAGGGGCTTAAGAACTATATATACACATGCGCACGCGCACACACACACACATAATTTATAACATACACTATGTATAGAATACATACTATATCTATGTAATATGTAGTACATTAAGGGGTCAGATGGTGGCATAGTAGTAAAGCAGTGCTCTACAAAACTGACCCACGTGGGAAGGTCCTAGGTTCATGTCCAGAGACCTCCCTGAACATGCTAAGCACACGTATACCTGTTATCTGGGGCAGGCTGAAGCTGGGGGTGGATTGTGATCGTAAAACCCTGTTGAAGGTGCTGAAGACTTGCTCTCTTTCTCTGTCATTGTTACTCGTAGAAGAAATAAACTTTAAAAAGAAATATATACATTAAAATTTTAAAAACTAGGGCAAAATGAAAGTGAGAGGAAAGAAAATAAAATCAAGATTAAGGGTGACACATGGAATGCATTCCATAGCATTCAGAATAATTTCTTTTAATAATTCCATGCTGGGTAATTTAAACTGAAAAAGGAGTCAAGTTCTAGAAGCTATTTCTGAACCAAATCTCAGTGCTTAGATTAATGATTATACCCTTCTCATTTAGATAATACCTTCTTCCTGAATACGTTTTAGAATACAAGGTAGCAGAGTTGGTAAACCTTAGAACTAGTCTTTTCAGCACATAGGTACAATGTAGCATCAAGTCATTTTAGTTCCCTTCATATGTTTAATGAATAATTTATCTTTCCTCAGCACAAGTTGGGCATAATGAGGAGTATAAAAATGTTTCAATAATATGTACGGCCATTATTGGTAAGACATTTACCTGTGCCAATCAAAACGCGCTAATTTGTACTATTGTGTGGTAAGATTGATGTGTAACCAGAATGTGCTAATTAACAAAATGAATGAAAATGTAGATATTTGCTTATGAAGTAAATAAAGGCTTTGTTCCCATCATCACTAACCCAGGCAGCTGGTGACCAGCCTGTCATGAGGGAAGCTAGTTCTGTTTGGGGTATCCGTCCCTATGTGACTTGAGCCCAAGTGAAGTGTCCATTGTACTTTTGTCCTTGCAGTGCACTGGGAGGCTCTTCAGCTCTTCACATCCCTGCTTTCCCAGGAGGAGGATGTCTCATCGATTACGTTCCTCAAGTATGCCACCTGCTCACCAACAAGGTAACAGCCAGTCCTCTGACTCCTCCCTCTTCTGAGACTCCTTCCTCCCGTCCACCACTCAAGAGTCATGGCGTGTGCCTCCTCCACAGACTGTCGTCTTACTTCCACCTCCATCGACTTCTGGTTTCCAACTTTGAATTACAATTTGTTTTGCTCCCTGTTTCTTTGCCCTCCTTCCTTTTTTGAATGATCCAGACCTATTCTAGTCTTGTCTTCATCTATTCTGGAGATTTGTCACCTCTTCCCTTGAATTTCCTTCATTCCCTATGTTTTTGCTAGATCCTACACCTTCTTACTTTCACGTTTTTGAAACCTTTCATTTCCCAAGCATCTAGAGCGTGCATGCGTCTGCTCATGTGTTTGCCACTAGTTGATTTCAGGGTAATTCTTTAAAACAATCTCATTTCTGTATGCTTTTCTGAACCTCACTTTTTAATAGTCAGTCCTTAATTCTTCCTATCATGACTGGAAGAAGTTCGCTAGAGGAGCTGGCAGGTGGCATGGTGGTTAAGGGCCTGGGAGACCTGCAGTTAGTGTAATGGCTACGTTGCTGAACTCCCATATAGCTGACCACGGTTTGAGTCCCAGACCCGGTGGCTTAAACTCATGCTGGGCACGAGTGCGTGCGTGCCCAAGATCCTGAGAGGAGGGAACCAGCAGTTAACGTAATGGCTATATCGCTGGACTACCACGTAGTTGACCGCGGTTCGCGTCCCGGACCTGGTGGCTTAAAACTCACGCTGGGCACATGTGTGTGCATGCCCAAGATCCCGAGAGAGAATGGAGGAGAAGGGACTGCGGCGTGACCAACCCCTGGGGGGGTGATTTCTCACTTTCTGTCTCTATGTCTCTCTCTCTGTCTGTTTGGCTAGCACACGCACCCTATAGCGAAAACCTCTCCAAAAAAAAAAAAAGATCCTGAG